CCGAAGACCCGAAAAGACATATGTGTTAAGGCTCTGTGGCGCTATAATATAAAGGCCCATGTGTAGACAAATATCATTTCAAAGTCCACACTCTACAGAATCCGGGCTGCAGGAAGAGACGCGAGGCAGGTCCTGTGGCTGGACCTGCTGGGGGATGCTCGTGAACAACTGGCGTCCTCATCTCGCAAGAAACATTCCACATGTTCAGGCAGTCTTGCCTCTGTGACTTGCACCTGTCGAGGGGGTAGGCAGGTGGAAACCACGACACTCTGGCAGGGAGAAGGCCTGGTAAGAATGGCAAAGGGAGCTCTGCACAAGAGCTCACTCTGTGGTGGTATCACTTCCCGGGAAGCGGGCAGCTTGCACGGGCGTCTGGGAACAACTCACAGTATTATTTCCCGATCTGAATGACCCTCTCCCCAACTTCCCACATCCTTTGCCATTAAACAGTCTACTTTCTCCCATTGTGTCTAGTGGCATTCCTTTGTCGATCACGAGATCCATCAGGACTAGACCACAGGATGCTACTTATCTCTGGTTTTGTCCTCACCATTCTCCCCCCTAGTCTACATTCACGTGGCCACATGGAAATTCTTTAGTACCTCCAAGGAAGCCTCATCTATGTTATTTCTGGGTTTGAAACACTTTTATCTGCCCTTCCTTTATCTGGCTAACTCTACACACCTTGTAGGTCTCCATTTAAATACCACTTCTCCTTGGGAAATGTTCCCTGGCCCCTTGATTAGGGTGAGTGCTTCTTAGATGTGTTCCCGATCTTGTTTTGCCCAATCAACAACCTCCACGACACTCTATCGATTACTTGGTGAATGTCTTCTCAGCTAGACTGCAGGCCCATCCTAAGCCCCATCAGGGCAGGGATCAAGGCTGTCTGACTCACCACTGTATTGCCAGTGGGTGACCGATAAGTACTTGTTGAATGGATGAATGGGGAGGACATAATAAATGCTGAGCTTTAGGGAGGTCACTCATCTCTCTTTGGTTATGACTCGTCTACACTGGTGTGATGAAATGGGCAGACGGCCACACTACTTTGTAAAACTACGTTTTGCAGACAAAGAAATCTAAAGTTCTAAAAGTGGGTTCTTTTAGAAAGAAATTCCTTTTAAGATTTCCTCTGCAATACATTTTAAATTCAAACTGTCATTTTTATATTAAGGGAGAACTGTCATTTAAAAACTGGTATTTTAGCACAATAATCTCAATTCTCAGATTTTAATGACTCTGTGGGTAGAGTTTAATGTATACACTGAATGTTCCAGAAAGCACAGTTCTTGCCTTCAAGGAATGTCCATTTCTAAACCAAAATAAATATAAAAATCAAAGATAATAAGAGGGGCAAGATTATTCATTAAACAGAGGTGACGGCACCACCATGGAGGGAGAAGTGCCTCCTGAGGGTAATTAGAGTGGCTCAACCCCAAGGTTAGTGGGCGTGAGATGCAAAAGAGCATGACGAGAGATTTTCAGGTAAGAAGCCCACAAAGATGAGAAATAGTTTATTAATTTTGCAAAGAGATCAGCTGACACCGAGTTAAAGACAGCTTTTATCTAGCTAGGAAAAATAGAGACTAAGATAAGAGTTAACAGGAAGTAACAGGAGTACAATGTCCACTTCAGGAACTTAAGCACAAAGAGAGGATCTGAAATGAAGCAGTGCCAAAGAAGAAACGGAAGTCAAATTCAAACATTTGTGAGTGTGACTTAGTAACCTTATGGAAGGTTGGGGCAGATAGCTAACAGTTATTTTACCTTCTTTTTCATTATGTCATTTTATTCTCATAACCTTCCTGGGAAGAAGTGTAGGTATAATCTGCCCAGTTCACAGAAAGGGAAGCTGAGGCTCACAGAGGAAAAACGATTTGGCCAATATGATAGGGGCAGACCTTGCTGACTGCCTAGCTAATAGGCTATCTCCTTCCTCCTTGCCAAAACCACCCCAATTTTGATGGGTGCCTATGTGACCAGCCTCAGAGAATGAACCTTGGCAAGTGTACACTAACCAAGGTGATGGCACCGCCTCTTCCAGGATGTCTGCCAGATACTTGCTTTCTAAGAGTCCTCTGAAGCTTAGAAAAGCCATGTGACAGCTCTGGCCAAAAAGACTTAAGGGGACACTTGCAAGGTGGCATCTGGGAAAGATTTTTCTTCCTAATAAAAAGGGAGCTGCAGGGAGAGTCTCCTTCCTCCCTTTGTGCTGCAGTTGTTGCCTTGTGAGCCTGAAGTGACCACCCTGAGGGTGAACACCAACTCACTGTGAATGAAGGAGAGGAAGAGCAGGAAGAGATTGGTTCCCTGATCACATTGTTAAGCCATGGAACCAACCCTGGAACCTCCCATCTGTAGACATCTTGGAAATTCTACAGAAAAGAGTTAACATGGCAGGCCTGAGAACCACTGTCCTTAGAAGGGCTGGCCACTGGCTGGCATCTAGGAACTTGGATTTTGGGAGGGTTCTCACCATTTCCATATTGTTCATAAGCCATGAGGATGCAAGCCATTGACCGCTTGCATTGTAAACCTGAGTTTGTCATCACAACTCAATTAGATATTTTAGTTTTACCTTAAAGCAGACCCACACTTTCCTACATACACACTAACTTTTGGAGCCCTCTTAGTTTCCAAGTTAGGCACCAGGAACTTGGAATATATTTTCCCTATAGAAAAAAAGGACGATGGCCTAATTAACATAGTTTCACAGCATAGTACTTTTAAAAGGAGAGGGAAGAGGAGACGGCCCTTCCTCCATTCCTGGGCATGGACGGGTCTTAGGGATGGTTTTGAAAAAGCCAAAGCTCATCTTTGGCCACCCTTCCCTTGATGTAAACTGTGTTAATGACTCAGGTATTTAACACTCCCAGAGGGACAGGTTTTTGTTTGTTTGTTTTTTAAGAAAGAGTACAGATAAAGCTCTGATTTGGTTGACTTTAACAAACACCAACAAACGAATTTGCCCTGGATAAGAAAAGATACTTTGGGGCATGGGGCCTTCAGGGAGGCAGTAGGGAGGAGGTCTTAGGCTAGTTTCCCAGTATAAACTGTTGCTTCCTTTTGGAGGCAGTGATCATAGGTCATAAGTCTGTCAGGAGGGAGGGCCAAGGATCAGAAGGCTTGGTTTTGGGTGAGGGAGTGGAATGTAGGCCGGAGTGTCCACCACAGGTAACTGGTGAGTTGCCTAAATTTATAAATAATAGGTCACCACAAACCAGGAAGTATTTAGGGTCCAGTCTTGAAGGCAGGCACTCAACAAGTGTTTGTAGAACAAATGGGTTCCTAGGAGATTCCATGCAGATTTCCAAAGACTGAAGAAACTCATCTCCTCTGGGAGTCAGGTTCAGAGACGTTTAATTTCAGTTTTCAAAACATAGATAGGTTTTCTTAAAGCTAATATATCTCTTA